GGAGAATAAATGTAAAGAACTTAATATAGAATTCGACCTTAATAGTCATTGCTTAATCATAAATTTACCTTGTCTAGAAATTCTCATGCCTAAGTCATATATATATACATAGGGCGATTTAATTTGGTAGATATTTACCTTGACTTTATCTGCTTTCCTGATAAGCCGTGGGAGGCAGTGCTGCTGCTTTGCACAACTCCAATTTGAACAATGCCCCCTGGAGTTGTGCAATATGGCAACTCTGGGAAAGAGGAGGCTTTTCAGTTTGTTTCTATTTATAGTTTGAATATTTTAACTTTGTAAGTAAATTACTTTAACGTCTTAAGGCAATAGTGGGGTCTCTGGGCTGGGAGATTTGGGGTTTGTTTGTTGGTTTGGTTTGTATTTCGTATCACTATTTAAAAAAACTAAACAAATAATAATATGCTTTGAGGAAACTCAGTCTTTTAGAAGTCATTCCAGTCACCATTAGTTAAGATCTCAGTAGACGTTCAATTAAAAAGTATTTGTTGGCAGAAAGAAGAGTGAGCACAAGCCTTCAGGTCAAGCAGACCTGGATTTGGATTCACTATTTACAAGTTATATAATCTTGTTAAACCTTTAATGTTTCCTTGATTTGGTAAGGGAGCTAATAATTCCAGACATACTCGGGTACTTTCTAGTACTTAAGTAAACTGCTGTGTACATAAAGTACCCAGCACAAAATCTGGCACTTGATGGGTTCTCGATAAAGGTACCTAGGATGATTTTTATTATGTGCAAGTTGCTGCCCTGATTGCTGGCTTAAAACTGGTTAGAATCAAAATGCTAGTTAAAATTGGCAATTAAATTCAGGTTGGTATTAGAATTAATAGTCAGAGCCTATAATAGATTAGGGTTAGGACTGAAATTACAATTCGATTAAGGTTACAATTGTAATGCATACGGCAGTTATTATTAAGGTTGCTGTTAATTAAAACTGGAAAATGGGAGTAAGAAGCAGTATGAGGAATACTGGTTTAGCTGGGTGGAAAATTGCAGAGGAAAGCAATGAGGAAACCTATGTAGAATTTACTGACACAGAAAACTCATATAGAGCAAAAAAAAGGGTTAGAGTACAAAGCAGAATCTGAATGGATATTAAACCTTCTTAATTTTTTTTCTCTACAGGTGCTGTCATCTTCTCCCTGATGAATATGTAAAATTCACCCACTCAGGCTGAGTTCTTTCTCTTTTCCCTCCCGGGCAAGAGCGGCGTGGGGAAAGGAATGCCCAGGGCCCACACAGCTGCGCCTAGCCAAGCATCAGTGCCAGCATCACATTCCTCACCCCCAGCTACCCAGGCTGTTGCTGAGTGGACAGGGGCATCTAAGAGGCAAAACCCATCTTCTCTCCACTCCCCTCCCCTGCTTCCACAGATTTTCACTGTAGCTACCAGCTCTGTAATTCCACAGACAACCTACTCCAGACTTTGTGCACGTCTCTGGGAAATGCATATTGTATGTCACAGCATTTCAGAGTGGAAAGTAACCATAGAGATCACAATCCAACATGGATACTTTTATTTTACCCATTTTCATGATGGGGTTAATCCTTGTAGGTCAGTCTTTCTTTGTAAAGCTATATTCCTAGTGAGTAGGGTGGCTGCCTGTAGGATACAGAGAGCACATGTAAAAAGGGCATTAGAATGACTATAGCAAGAAGTTATTCCAAATGCGAACATCCACATCAGTAGGAGAAATTACTCTTTTACTCTGAAGTATATAAGAGTGAGGAATTCCTCAAATTGGACACTGCTCTAGATTTTGTGAATGATTTTTCTTAGCCTTCCTGCCTCCAAGGGTACTATCTCCCACCCACACCCAGTGCTGGTAACCCCTTTATCAGCTAGCTGTATGGACACAGGAAATCATTTAGCTTTTCTGAGTTTCATTTTTCTCATCTGTTCAACAAGGGTATTAATTAGATAATCCTGAAGGTCCTGTATGCCTCTAACACTCTCTTATTCTATAATTCTAAAAGCCAGTGACTGTTTCCTATTCCCAGGACTTAAACTGCTGCCAAACTGATGCTGATGATGCAGAAGGAAAAGAGGAGCCAGTAGAAAAAGAGCATTCCAGAGTCTCATTTGCTACGTCTTAATACTCTCTGCAAAATAGCTTTCCTTTTTACCTGTCACCCTAGGTTCTTGTCCCACACAGTTACAGTAGAGGGTAGGGCCAGACCAGTAGTTATTAGAGAATTCAGGGAAGACAGGTGGAAGGGGATCTCTGCAGAGCAGCAGATGGAAAAGGCCATTAATTAGAGGACTATGAGACCTAATCCTACATCCTGCCCTCCCTATCCCACCCATCCCCACTCTTGCTCCCCTCCCCCTCCATTAACCTGTCCTCTCTTAAGCCCACTTAGACAATCTCTAAGATGTCTTCTAGCTGGAAAGATAATACTCTTTATCCACTAAGAAACTAACTAGGGTTGCCTGATCTTTCCCCTCTGAAGCCGATTCTGTTTTGAACACACCCACATTACTGCCTGCTCTCTGCACAATTCACTTCTTGCCAACACGGCCCCACCTCTGTGCGAAAGTTCAATTTTCCCAATATCTCTTCCTCACCCTCTAACCAAGCCTCTTCTCTCTCTTATATCCAGGTTTCTGCACCCCTTAAATAGAGTACCCCCTTTATTTTCACATTTTGGAGATTCCAAGATATGTGCAAACCGCTGGGAGACAGAATGGTCTGGAGTCATTGAGATATGTCAAGTGGGGCAAGTCAGACAGCCAAAGATGGTCAACACTTCCCTGCAAGAAAATCTTAACTACCCAAGCACTCAAGAAATGTCCAAGAGGCAGGCAGAACCCTTCTCCCAGAAACCATCAACTCTAACGACTGTAAGAGAAAAACTGTGGGGCAGCATCCTGACAATGCAGAAGGATTTCCCTGGAGAATATTCTCTCCTGACTTCTCCCTCATTGCTTGTCGTTTATATAGGACTTTGCTGGTAACCAAGTACTTTCCGCATCCCTGCCCCTGAGTTTCTGGGTGACAGGGACATTAACTAGATCACAGAAGGCTGGAAAACTCTGCTTTCAAGAAGGAAAGATTACCCAAACCTTAAGGATTAGCTCAATGAGACAGTCATCAGCACAGAAAGAGAGCTAGTCTAAGAGGTAGAAGACATGCCACCAAATCCCTCATCTCGGGATAAAATATTAGCCTCACAGGATTGGAGGACACTTCAAAATCATATTGTTGCACATCCCAGCCAACACTTGTGTCTTCCACTATTAACTGTCAGAGTAACCTTGTTCAGTTAGCCTCATTCGAGCCTCAGTTGTACCTATATCATAAGGGGTTGGAATAGATATTTTTAAAGAATACTTACATACCTAAAATTATTTTATTCTAGAATTCTAACATTTAGAAATGTATTTCCAAAAGCTAAGATTCAGCAAAACTGATTCAGAAAGATCCCTGAGATAGTTCAAGATTTTTTCAGAGACAGTCACAAAGAATGACAAACACCAGGGACTTGGGACACTTAAGCCAAGACTAAGTATGAACACCCTGCATCTCTTTTCCATCTTGCTGTATGTGGCCTCAGGAGTGAGAACTGCTTTGGTCACAGATGCAGGAGTCCTTAGATGGTTTCTAGATCAGATTCTTCACGAACCTTACTCACTGAAACTTGAGAAGGGCACGATCCCGCGAAAGATCAAAAAGAAGAAAAAATAGTGGAGAAAAGGACTGGGAATAAAGAGATGGAATAGGGAGGGTTAAGAAAGAAAATGACTGAGTCGCTTGGAAGGCTGCCAGATTGGGCAAGAGTCTGGGGTGAAATCATGTTTTCAGAGGGTGACTTATTTCCTTGACATGGGATTGAGGGAGACATTGATTCCCAAGGCCCGGGGGTTTGCTGGAAGATGCCTTTCAAGAGAGATTGCCTGGGGCCACGAATTGTTGCTGGACAGATAACTACGGGCTCTTGGGTAAGAGGGATTAGGGATGTTAGTGTTTAGGAGAATGATAAGAGTTAGCAGTTATATACTGGAGATATGTCCCTGGGTACACTGTTGATAGGGTGACCCCAGGGCTTAAGGCCTGGGGCCACAAATTTTTGCTGGACAGATAACTATGGGTTCTTGGGTAAGAGGAATTAGGGATGTTAGTGTTTAGAAGAGGGCTGAGAGTTAGTAGTTATCCACTGGAGAGATGTCCCTGGGTACACTGTTGATGGGGGACCCCGGGGTTAAGGGGATCCCCAGTTGTCAAAGGATGAAGGGTGGAGCTGGAGGATCTCAGGCTAGTGGGCACGCCCTTGCCCAGGCCTGCAGTGGCCGCGCTCGCCAGCTGGCCCACGGCCCTGTCGGACTCCCCTCCCTCCACCCCAAGCCTAAGAGGGGTGAGCACGGGGTCCCACTGCTGAGCCAGCTCCCTCCCTCTGATCCACACCCGAGCCCGGCTGGCGGAGCTCCCGGGGGAGAGGGTGGAAGGCACCACGAAGGCAAGGAGGGGGTGTGGGAGGCGGGGGTAGTGGGGAATGCGGCAGCCTGGCCCCCCCGCGACCAGCCCAGCCCCCTGCCAACCCCCCTCCACCTCCAACCAAATGGTTTGCTCCGAGCGCCCTATTTAATCCCCGCGACTGCAGCAGCGCCGGCTCCCTCCTGGTCCCCACCTCGGCCCCGGGCTCCGAAGCGGCTCGGGGGCGCCCTTTCGGTCAACGTCCTAGTCAACCCCCTCCCCATCCCCATCCCCCGGGGATTCAGGCTCGCCAGCGCCCAGCCAGGGAGCCGGCTGGGAAGCACGATGGGGGGCCCAGCCACCTCGCTCCTGCTCCTGCTGTTCGCCTGCCGCTGGGCGCCCGGTGGGGCCAACCTCTCCCAGGACGGTGAGTGAGGGAGGGGGCGGCGCCTGGGGAGGTGGGGAGTGACCCGAGGCGGGGGCTGGGATCCGGAGGCCGGCGGAGGGAGCCTGTTGGCTTTGTTTGGAAGCGGGGTTACAGTCGCCAGCCGCTGCTAATACCCTTGTGTCTGTCTCTGAGCATCCGTGTCTCTGTGGACCGTGGGTGTGCCGGCGTGTGCACCCTTCTGTGTACACCACCGAGCGTGTGTCTGCGTGTGCACCGGGCTTTGGCTCTCGCGGCTGATGTCCGTTATGAGCAGCCCGAGGTCTGGCTGTGTTGCTGTCCGTGTGCGCGCGCGTCTGTGTTGGTGTCTGGCTCTGCGTTTCTGTGTCAGTATCTGTGTGTATGTCTGTGTCGGTGTGTGTTGGGGGCGGAGTGAGATTTGTCGCTGTTTCAGTCAGGGCGTATGTCGGGTGTTTGTGTATGTATGTCTGTAGGGGTTTGGTAGCCAGTGCAATCCCCCAAACTGATGTATGCAAACATTTCTGCTCCCCCGCCCGTCCCCCACCGAGACCGGCGGCCCAGCGCCCCAGCGCCGAGTGGGCAGAGAAGGGGGCCTGGGTGAGGCTGCTGAGGGGGGCGTGGGCAAAGAAGGGGGCCCTTATCCTTGGAGCAAAACAACAACACAGGGCGGAGGGGGCCCAGGATGGCAACATCCCTGGCAGTGGTAGAAGCTGGGAAAAGAAATCCAGACAGGGGCAGAGGCGGGGTGGGGGTGGGAGGGAGCAAAAGAAAGGATCAAGATATTTGGGGAGGAGGATGCATGGGAAACCCAAATTTTCAGGGCTAAGCACTGATTTTCCCAGATTTTGGATGAGGTAGCATACCTAGCCCCTTTGCCCCAGTCTGGAACTCAAACCTTCTTTTAGGTTCCTGATGGTAGAGAGATGAAGGAGGGGAGTCTGAGGAGAAAGGAGGAGGGGCCAGGGGTGAGGGGACTTGGGGAAGAGCCCCTCCCGCCCTGGGCCAGGCTATGTAGGTCAGCGCTGTGGGGGCACCTCAGCTTTCTTAAAGGCTACAAACGGTTAGTGGGATGGCAGAGGGGCAGCCTGTAGGGAAACCCGGAAGGGGGCCACAGCTCAGAGCCTCAGGTCCCTGGGGAGGGAGAGCAAGCTGTGAAGAGACTAAAGGAATGCATCTTCCTCTCTCCTCCGCCCGGTAGGAAGAGGAGGAAGGCTGGGATGGAGGAAGGGGGAGAGGGAACAGGACCTCTGTGGAGCAAAGGGAAGTAGGGAGAGTGAAGGGGGAGGGTGGTGGCTGTGCCCGGCCAGATGCCAACGAAAAACAGAAAGAACCGCAGGGGAGGAGAAAGGGGAGGTGGCTCCTGGGCGATGGACCCAGTGGCCAGCAGGGATGGGCACAGGGCGGGGCGGGGGTGGAGAGGGGAGGGGTTGAAACTGGGGAGGATGATGTAGAGAATTTCATCTGAGGAAAACAGGCGAATAGCCAGGGTGCTGGAGGAATAATCGCTCCACCTCACCTGACCTCCCCCAGCCCTGTCTCCATCATGATAAAGGAGCTTCCTCTGGTATGGGGACCCTGGGGATCCCCTCCCTTAAGTTGGCTGGCTGACTCCTTCAGCCCTCTACCCATCAAACTCCCCAAAGGGAGTTCCCGCCCTAGTCACCACAGAGACAGCAGCCTCTTCTTTCCCCTATGTGGAATCCCCTTCCCCAGAGGACTGCACTGATGACCCCACTCACTGAGGAGCTGGAGGGAGTCCTTGGGGAGAGCAGGCTAAGTTTGAGACAGAGAGGCTGCTGGGTGTTTGTGCCTCAATAATGACCCTCCTACTAGGCCTTGACTTTCAGCTGCAGCCCCTGGCCTTCCTTACCTGCTGAGTTTCATAAAGAGAGGCAAATACGATCCAAACTGCAACTGTTCAGTAATGGGAACTGATGGTGCTAGGCTGGGCCCCAAAAAGAAAGACGTCATCCAGAAAGCTGTGAGCTCTTCTACTCTAAGATGTAAAAAAACTATAGACTAGAGTAAATCAGTATACTAGCCAAGTCTTTCTTCACCAACTACACTCTTCTTTCTTGGTCCTCAAATTGGGGGCTCAGCCCCTATTCAGGCTTAAAGTTGAGAGGAAGAGGAACGTTCTATCATATTTAGAAATATGTTTCAGAGCAGTGGCCTGAGAGAAACAGTGGAAGGCAGTAACTTCTGAATGGGGAATTTCTAGAGGAGAGGTGGGGAAATGGGAGATAAACAGCAGGGGTCTGTTTCCAAAAAGGAGTCAAATCAAGCATCATTTTCCTTGTTGAGCACTATCTTTACAGAAAATGGACATCTGTCTGGTGTGCAGTATCTCAGAACATGCTGATGCATGAGACATAACCACCATATCTTCTATCTTAGATTAATTGTGTCTTTTAGTTTCTGGATCTAAGAAGGCTAGCGCTGATAGTGGGAGGTAAATGCACAGATTTAATGCTTAGAGATAGTAATCCTGAAGACTATTTTGCCCAGGATCATGGAGGTGTGTCTAGTACCCCCGAGATGGCCTGAGGCCCCTGGGAAGAAGGCTAGGCCGTATTTATCTTTAACTGGTAGTGTTTGACCAAAACTATGAGACAGGCGGTGTGATGGTATAAGGACAAGATACTCTTATGCTGATGCTTGAATTGTCAAGAGTGTTGTGGCAGCATATCCATTTTCATTTAGAATAAGAAAACAAACTTTATATGCTGCTGGGGCATATTGTTTCCTGGAGTACAGCATAAATTTTTTAAGCTTCATAAGGCTGAACAGAGATTGAGAGGGCAAGCAACTGATATCTAAGACTGGCCATGAGTGTTGTGGCTAGAAGTTGAGGAATGGGTAAGACATTTAGAATGTGCCATCCACCCTTCCTTCTCACTAGTATTCACAGAAGTTGACAATTCCAGATTTGGATAACACAAATCTTATGAATTTAATGTGTCCTCTCTCTGGTGAACAGCCCAATACTCAACACCATGACCAGTTTTCTTGGGCTCTCCCTTTTCAAGTTATTTCCTGTGAGTTGACCTAGGGTAAAGACAGATGGATAGCTTCTCTTTGTTTCAGATAAGGTTATCGCAATTTAACCTTGTACTGCACTGCCCCACACATGAACATCTATTTCTTCTCAATGACCTCTGTCCATGACCATCCATTCTGCAGGCCCCTGGCCAGATGCCCAGTGAGGATATCATGCCCTATGTGCCACAGAAGTCCAGCAGGCATTCACTCTAGTGCTGCCCACAGATCTGTTTGGCAGATCAACTCCAGCCAGTTTCTGTTCCTAGTCGCAGCTGTAACTGTTCTGTTTCTGTTCCTGTTCTCCTAGTTGCAGCTGTAACTCTTGGGAAAGATATGCTCTCCTTTTAGACATGTGCATTTTCTGGGATGGAAAAGTTAAGATCATCACAGAGACACTCGTATAGCAGAGTTTAGTTCATCCCATGAAGAACCAGTCTGTTTGATGTAGGTCCCAATCTATGGAATGTCAGCTGCCTACCCAGCAGTTGTATCATTCTATTCCAAGCTTCTCCATAATCTGGATAGCACTGTTGGTTTGAATAGTTTCCCCTAGGGCAGCAGTTTTCTCATTTTGTTTTTAAAACAAAGCTGTGAGACATTTTTAACAAATAAGTAAAACATACCAAAGAAGAATTGCTATGGCTGAGATAATGAAATAAGACCTATATATCTTTTCCCTGTCTTACTGGCTTTTACACATTCCTATAATCCTTAAGGAACTACCTGGGGTTCTACCATACAGTTCAAAATCCTCCGTACTAGACTGATAGAATGAGCCAGCTTACTACCCCCAGGCTCTTTCTCCTTCCTCTTCCAACTGAAGAAGAAAGGAAGTCCAATCTAATTGCAAGAGTACCTTGTTGGAGATATTCGCTATTCACTTGAAGAGAGTGACTCATAGTTCTGCAGCCATAAAATTCCACACACAGCATCTCTTTGGTGTTCTGGTTACTTTGAAATAACTAACTGAGTAGTTGTGCCATTGCTCTGTAAATTCTTAGATTTGATTTCGGTACTCCTTGCTGTTACTACTTTCTTGCAGTCAAATAATACGTAAAATTCAATCGAAAGTTTCTTTTCGTTAAATCACATGGTAGGAAGAAAAATCTTCACAGTATCACCAGAGAAGTAAAACCCCTGGGGCTGTGACTAGTCTCATTCTTTGCTGTTTCCTACTCCGGTGGAAATGCCTACTGGCTCAACTATCCCCTTTTTGTCATCTAATTCTCAGTAATGGAATTTTGCCTAAGGATGGTGATCTAGGTTCCAGATTCTTGTTGAAAGCAAGCTGTACACTGGACCAGCTCCTTACTAGGTTCCAGATTCTTGTTGAAAGCAAGCTGTACACTGGACCAGCTCCTTACTGACTACTGAGTGAAAAATTCAAAGTTATAAAGTTTTGGTAATTACATCTTCTTTTATTTTTCATGTTAGAATGTAATATTTCATGTTTAACCACTGGCTATCGGCCCGTGCACTAGAACATTTTGTTTCCTGTATGGGGTCATGTTTTAGAGGTCCACCCATAATCTGTGAGAATAGCAATCCCCGCAGAAATGCTTACAAAAGACACAGAGAAGCAAACCATCAGAAAAAGACCCCGGAGAAGCAAGCCATCAGAAAAATATCCCATTTCTAAAAGCTTGCTGAGATTAAGTATAAACAATCCATGTCATCATAAAATGAAGAAGCACAAGTTTTCAGGGCTAGAGACCTGTTTCTGCCTCTAGGATCAGCAGTAGTGATTTTTTTTTTACAAGATCAGAACCACCTGGTGCCCAGGGCGCCAATAACTACCCAAGTAAAAACCCAGTCCAATCCTGTTATATATGATGAGGAGATCCATCCCTTCTAGTACAGAGAAGTCAAACTCTCAGGAGGCTTGAACACATGAAGCTTTGTGATTTTTACAAAATAGAAACTAAGATACTAAGAAGTAAAGGTACATATTCTTCAATGAAGCAGCAAGTACTAAATAATCATCTCTTTCTTCACCAAAATTTTCCTAAGCCTTAAGTCATCACATTTCCCAAAAGAGAGACTTCTAAATCCTGAGAACAGTATTCTTCTTAAGAGGCATGATTCCATACCTCTCTTCCAGGTATGATTGTCTGAACTACTTACAGCAATTCTGGATACACTAGGGCATTCTGAGTCTGAGACATCTCATACCTTACCTGATGAAAATACACATTTTGACTTTCTTGTGCCCTACTGTCTCTTAGGGGGCACGGGCTCTCTGTTCCCTCTTTAGAAGATAGGCCTAATTTTACTCATGATAAGTTGTAGCACATTAAAAGCCCCTCCATCACCACTAATATCTAGGCAACATAATCGCAGAGGCTAATGTTGACAAACTCAGTCTGGTGGTGGTCCTCATTTTTCAGCACAGTCTCTTGGCTGTATATCAACCTGACGGGTTCAAACAAAGCATTTCAAGGAGACCTTACAGAGCAAGTGATGAACGTAGAGTGATTCTAGTAGAAACCATGATGTCTGTTCTTTTAGTTCCTGTGCTTGAGAGCTGTCTGCCTTACCCCATGATCCCAGTTCCCCTGTACTTTGTGGAGCAAACCGTTATACCTGTGCTTTGAGCTCTCCATGGTGCTAGCCCCTGACAGTGACACACCAGGCTTTTCTTGTTGCTCTCCATGGTCCTGTTTTACTTCCAAGTTTCATAATCTCATTCTCCACAGTGCAGTCCCCAGAACAGGGCTGGAATCTCCCTCACCTGACCACAAACACACACATGATCTTGGTTATGGTCCCTGACCTAATCCACCACAAATACAAAACAAAACTCTGAGATATAGATCTAGGAAGTCCTCCTGACCATCTGATCAACTGCAGGAAGGGAACAGAAGGGCAAGCAATTCTCAAGTTAAAAAAGAAGTGCTAGAAGGGTTTTATAAGATGCTCGGGAAATTGTGGCCTACAGTGACCTCGAATGGCCTCAAAAGAACTAAATGTTTTGTCATATTTGGATTCATAGATTAAAATAGAACTATATATAGTTCTGTTTTAGATCGAGATAGTATTGCTCATCTATATGATAACCATACACAGTTGTACTTTGGTATCCATGAAGGATTGGTTCCAGGACCTCCCACAGATACTAAAATCTGAAGATACACAAGGCCTTGATATCAAATGGAGTAGTATTTGCTTATAACCTATGCACATTCTCCTGTATGCTTTGTCATCTCTAGAATACTTATAATACCGTATACAATCTAAATGCTATGTAAATAATTGTTTTACTGTATTGTTTGGGCGATAATGACAGGGAAAATGTGTAAACAAGTTTCGTACTGGCACAACTTTTAAAAATACTTTCAATCTACAGTTGATTGAGTCTATGGAGGTGGAACCCATGGATATGCAGGGTTGACTGTATACAGTATAAGTGTGGAATGCAAAATGAATCCTACTCAGTTTATAAACAGGTACCTCTTAACAGAACTCTGAGCATGACCACCAACTCTAACTGTCCTGTCATGGTGCTTTTACCCTTTCCCCTCAACCTTAGCAAAGATAATACATGACAATGGGTCATCAGCATAGATAATGGAGGAATCCAGTAAATGAGAGGCATAGAAAACAAGTATCAAGTCTACATCCAGATCATCCTGAACGTACCAGATCTTGTCTGGTCTTGCAAGCTAAGCAGGGTTGGACCTGGTTAGCACTTGGGTGGGAGAAAACAAATATCAAAACCTTGACTTAATGCCCCCACCTTTATAACTACCATGTACAAAACTAAATGGCTTTAAATATAACCATCTTCTCCCAGAGAGCACAGGTCCTTGGCCATATCTCAGTAGATGCATGTTTAAACTGTACTGTGCTATGCTTTGAGGGTATCTTCCCATAAACCGATGATGTCAAATGGGGCAGGAAGCTGAGAGTGCTCAGTGCCTGTCAGTTTTAGATTAGCCAGCCTATTCCTCACATCACGTTAGAACTACACAAGCTTCTCATCTCCTAAATGCTGATTTTTCCATATCAATTTATGGATAAAAGTTAATATAATCGTTAATTCTCATGAGTGACCTACAGCAGAGTATAGCTGGAGAGGCAGACTTCCAGAATGAATTTCCAGGACTCCTCTTTCATTTCTTCATTTGAAACAAGGAGAAACTTCATTCCTCAAGGACAGGTAATGAGAGTGATTTATCTCTATGAGTGAGCCTTCAGCAAGACAGAATTAGAGTTATAGGAACAGCTGGAGTGTCTCCCATCTACTCATCTTCCTAAGCCCCCTGTTCTCATGAAGAGCAGGTGGGTTTCAGAAAGGACTCAAATACAGAAATCTTAACCTATTTTTCAGTACATATATCATCCTTTAATGTGAACTCTTACCTCTGGGATTCTTTAACCTTCTCTTCTCTATCTTTCTCTTGGAAGTCTCCAAGAGAACAATAAGAAAGCTAAATAACTTAAAGAACAAACTAAAACGTTGTCTTCTCTAAGGATTTATTTTCCCTTTCCCCAACTAGACTTACACTAATTGGGTATTGATTGCTAATTATAAGGACCTTTAGCTCATTTACTTGTAGTTCAGGGTCAAGAAGATCGGGTGCATCACCTTGCCCCAGGGAAAAAAAAGAAAAAGAAATGAAGGCTGATGTCTCAGCCACTCACCAGTAGGCTAACCATTATTCATTTCTCCCTTTTCTTCATATACTTCAAAATATTGGCAAGGTAGGATGAAGAGCTAGTACTTCTGACACCAGATTTTATTGGAAATATCCAGATTCTTGTTTCATATGTTTATTTTTACCCTTCTATGACCTGGCTCTTTGCTTCCAATTCTGATTTCAGTAAGTACATCAATGACAGGTAACTTGGAAGTTAGCATAGCGGTCAGTCAGTCTTTGAAGAGCCTGGAGCTGAGTTCTTGAGTTATTATAAAATGTGGAGCCAGTTTTACCATCTGCTCCTAATCATTTTTTTTTGCCCAGAAAATGCAAAAATTACAGTGGAAAAATTGCACTCACTAGTTCTTACTGTAGTTCTTAAAGATATTTCCAAATATATATTATATGTATCTTCCCCTAATCTGTATCGTCTAATCTCACACAAATATAAAAATCACCACCACTAAGCCCCTGAGCCTCTCATATTTTCATTTATCCTCAACTGCCACTTAATGCCAACTTTTTCCTGGTTTCCAAGCCCTGGAGTCCAATGTCAGTGACAGATGGACTGAGCCTCAGCCCTGGAGAGGAGAGGATTCTGGCCCTCTCCTGGGGAGTTTGAGCAGAAGAGAGAGCCTGAATTCTGCTTTGGGGAGAATCTCTGAGTTCAAGCCATATGTTTTTCTGGAAGTAAGGGGTTCTGATTAACATGGACATGTGAAAAGGGCTCCGTATCTGGGTCATAATAAAATCTGTGCATCCATGTCAGACCAAAAAAAAAAAAACCACACACACAGAAATATGATTAGTGAGACTCATAGTGTGTTGTGTGTGTGTGTGTGTGTGTGTGTGTGTGTGTGTGTTGAGGGGTACGTGCCAAAATATGCATGCATCTTAGGGAATAAAAACACACGTTTGCTCACATCAAATAAGAGACACTCAACTGAGACTTAAGAAGAGAGATAAAGTTCTTTATGTCAGAACAATATTGTTTTCCATTTTGGGGACTGAAATCTGTAGACTTGGGAGAATGTATCTGTTTCATAGAAGAGTTAAATTTTCAGGAAGGTACAAAGTAAGGCTAATATGAACAATGTACCGCAATTTAAAAAATACAGATTTTTTTTTTAAGTGAGAAGAGTGTAGGGAGACTAAATAGCAGTTAGGATTGGGGGAATCAGTAAAACTAGAGTAGTGTGGGTGTGTAGAGCGGAACATATTTTTCTTCATGTAATGCTCCTAACCATTGCCCTGAACCTGTCATCCACACCCCGACTCCGATCATCCAGTGAAGGGAGACAGTAAAAACAAGTCAGAAAAATCAGAACCAGCAGAGATGAATGCTTTCTTGCTTGACTTCTAACAAATTAAACTTTTCCACAGCATTGTTATCCCACCACACCAAGCCATCAACCTGAAATATCTAAAGTGCAACATAAGGAGCATAGGAGAATAAGACAGAGCCCATTGAGAAAGGGAACTCATCCATGCCCTCAGACAGGTATTGGGGCACTGGGATAGGTACTGCAGAGTACAAGCGAGCTGTTGGAAACTGGGCTGAGATTTCTCATCTCCAGAGAATCTATTCTTTACTTCTCCCTGATTTTCTGGACTTTCTGGCTTATTCTCAGTGTCTATTTTCCCATACCCTTCCAATGAGCTAAACTGAATTCTGTGTTTGACTCTGCTATGTTTCCTTTCTCAAGTACTTTCCTAAGATGGGGGGGCTCCCCTGCCCCGTTCTATTACATATGTGTGAAAGCAGCAAGATACATTGAGGGTAAGGGTATAAAATTCCTCTACTTAGTTTAAGGGGACAACTAAGAGTTCAGTCTGGCATCCTGGCTGTATTGCATTAGAATGCAGATTTTAAGTCATACCTGTCGGTATGTCTAAAGTGTTTGATCATAGTGAGAAGGGAATGAGGAGATGGAATAAACAGACACTCCTAAAATGGCTCAGGGCTGTTATTATCCTGTCTTCAGGATACTACCCCAAAACAACCAAGGAGAGTCAGTACCTGCACACAATCTGCGCTCTAGAGGTCCTCACTGAGCCCTCCCCTGTGCTCAGTTTCACCTCAGCCCCTCACCCTTAGTGCAGAACACTAGATAGCCCAGTCCCAGAAGGAAGCAGCTAAGTAAAGGAAGAGACTCTTTTGGGATCAAATCCCCTTCCTTTCTGTCTCTCGACTGCAATTCTCTCTGCTACAACTCAGTATTGGCTACAGAGGGGCTTGTTTTGGTTGGGGGCCAGCCCAGGGCTCCCTCCTGGTGCTAATGCACCGAGAACACTGACTCAATAGCAAATCAAAGCAACAGCTGTCCCCACCTCCTTCCCTGCCACCCACTTCCCAGTCTCTGCTCCTCAGAATCTTAACTAAGTCTCTGAGGGCCCCCCTCAGCCTACCACAAGCCCACTTCTGCCTCCAGATTTTTTTCTCTCTACAGCTCAAGAATAGGACATGTTCCTCTGCTTTTTTTTTCTCTTCTGTTCTGGCCCCTGTCTCCTGCTTCACAATCAGGTTAGCATTCCCTCAGCTCTTCACCGTGCAGGTGCCAGCAAGCACACGTGCACACGTGCACACACACGTACACACACATGCAACCTGTCCTCACAGTCACCCTTTTTAGCTCCAAAGGGCATGGCAATGACTTCTGCCTGATGGCCTCCTCTTCTGTGTGAACTGGAACCTGCTAGGAAAGCCCTGAACTGTATGAAGACACCATCTGCCCCATCTTCAGGGACTCCCTCTTCATCATAACCCAAATTCTCCAATCTACTGGGCATTTAGTAGACTTACTTCTCATAAGGTCCGTGGTCCTGGAGTTCTTCAGTGCCATGTACAGGAGATGGGGCATAGGAAGGGTGGGTGCCATTGGAAATAAAATCACACTCAGTGTCAACTTAACCACTGAATTAATCAGTCCACAAGGACTGCTACAAAATGCCAATGGGTGCAGGTCCCACTCACTGCCTGTGTGACCATGCTCAAATTCCTAAACCTCTCTGAGCCTTGGTTCCTCATATTTTCAATAAGAGGATTGGACCAGATGATACTTAATATCTTGCCAACTATAAAAATCTATGCTTCTAAGAATCATAGAGGGGAGAATATTTTTGGGCAGAATTAGGTGAAACAGAAAGAAAAAAGGAATTACTGGCCGGACCTGGTGGCTCAAGCCTGTAATCCCAGCACTTTGGGAGGCCGAGGCGGGTGGATCACGAGGTCAACAGATCGAGACCATCCTGGTCAACATGGTGAAACCCCGTCTCTACTAAAAATACAAAAAATTAGCTGGGCATGGTGGCGCGTGCCTATAATCTCAGCTACTCGGGAGGCTGAGGCAGGAGAATTGCCTGAACCCAGGAGGCAGAGGCTGCAGTGAGCCGAGATCGCGCCATTGCACTCAAGCCTGGGTAACAAGAGCGAAACTCCGTCTCAAAAAAAAAAAAAAAAGAAAAGAAAAAAAGAAAAAAGGAATTACTGAACTTGGGCAATAGAGAGTGAGGAAGGGCATTAGTTCCATCCTTCTATAAAATCAAAAAGATCTTAGAAATAACCACCTCTAGGCTGGCTGTGGTGGCTCATGCCTGTAATCCCAGCACTTTGGGAAGCTGAGGTGGGTGGATTGGGAGTTTGAGACCAGCCTGACCAACAAGGTGAAATCCCATCTCTACTAAAAATACAAAAATTAGCTGGGTGTGGTGGTGTGCGCCTGTAATCTCAGCTACTCAGGAGGCTGAGGAAGGAGGATCACTTGAAGTCAAGAGGCAGAGGTTGCAGTAAGCTGAGATTGTGCCACTGCACTCCAGCCTGGGCATGACAGAGCAATACTCCATCAAGAAAAAAGAAAAGAAAAGAAATAACCACCTCTGACCATTAGGATTCAGTAGACGATGACCAGATATGCAAGTTGACTGCAAGGTTTTAGGAAATATGTAAAACATATGTATTCATAATACCTTAAAGTTTGGATAGGGGAAAACATTTGAATTTTGTCTTAAGATGTGGATATTAAAAAAATCTTTAGAATAATTTTTTTTTAGTGAGAACCAAGGGTTAACTCTAAGATAAGCTTTTAATTTTAACCCTACCTTAACACCCACCACAGGCAAGCTAGCTAGCTAACTATCCCGAAGATTCCTCCTCCTTCAGCCTGGAAAAGCCTAGCACACACCATTCCAAAAGTGGAAAACAAAAGCCTTTCATTTTTAACCTGCTTAGGATTGAACCAAAAGATGTCTGTAATAAACCTGTTTGAGCCCAGATTGGGTACAGGTTCCTTCCAAATCTAAATTTCTTGGGTAATTCAATAGTGCAGGACCCCTGAGTCCATAAATCCCTGATCTCTGGGCCTAGGCTTTACCAAGCTGAGCAGCTAATCCACGTTAGGGTTTCTTATAGTGAAGATTCTGTTTTCCATTCCTATTGACCATTTATTTTCACTCATATCCTGTATGCCTCCTAGGAGAGTAAAGCAAAGCTGGGACAGAGTAGTTTATCAAGAGGCTGCTTAATAAACAAGACTCTAGGAGGAAAAACCAGACAGCAACAGAAATAACAGAGGGAGGGAACAAGGAGGAGCAAGGTCTCAGTAGCGCAGCCAGAAGGAGGGTGGATGGGGCAGTGAGGTGGAGAGAAGGCTTAGATCAGGGAGGCACGCAGCTGAAGCATGACTGAGCTCTGGAGTTCCAAAGTGGATGTGAGCTAGAGCACATTGGAGCTAAGGAAAGGAGATGCTTTAGGAGATCCTGCTGCCTGTGAGGGGACAAGAGGCCTTTCCCTGAGGAGCAAGGAAAAAGGGAAAATAGTACCTGAAAAGAAAGAGGGTCCCAGATGACAGAATAACTCCCACCCCATATGGCCCAGCTTCTATTTGACTGCACTGTTATATTGTGGCCATTAGGAAATTACAAATTTAAGGGAGGACATAGTTAGAAAGGAATGGAGGGCAGGAAGTAAGAAAATATTTTGGCATTCAGGCAATCAAAGTCTTAGATTAAGAATTTACAAAGTGACTTCAGTAAATATGGCATCGCTGCCAGCTGCCCAAAAACAATGGAAGGAAATTCACTGTCCAGAGTTCCTTCTGACCAGGGTTTTGTGTGCTACAGGCAAAGCAACTCCCCAAAATCTTGAAGTTTTCATCTCAATCAGAATTCAGATGGAACTGGTCTGATTTCTTTCAAATGCACAATCAAACATTCGCTGTCAAAGAAAACTGTCACTCTGAGCATAAAGAAAAGCTCCAGAGGCTAAGTTCTAATCCCGATTTTGCCATGGCCAGTCTCCTGTGTGTGTGATCCAAACGAACATAGAATTCACTAAGAAGCTGGGGTTAGGGAAAAACGAGAATGACATAATC